ACTTATCAGTTAGACTGCGGCCCGAAATGCCTAACAAGTGATCCCTGAGCCTGATGGGTCTGCAGATTTACGTGACACAGCTGTGTGCTGGCTTTGACTGTAACTAGTGTCTTTAGAAAGGACCCATAAGAAAGAAAGTTCAGAGCGACATGAGGGCTTTCCTAAGAGAAGCAAGACAAGGGGCTGCCAGGACCAACGCTGCGAAATGGAGGGCTGTCCGCTCTGCAGACCTGTGGATGCATCAGACACAGACTATAAAATGCTGTGCATGACGGGAACTAGAATTCATGCTTGTTGCAAAGATGAGAGTGGGTGCATCAATATTTCAGGGGACTTGGAGTGTGAGGCTGATCCCGCTGCGGAGCCCCTGAAAGAGCCAACATTGCCCCATGCACCCATGACCTCCTAGTGGCCTGCTGGTGACAGCCTGGGCTCAGCTGCACCTGACACCGCAATATGTGCAAAAGCCGTCAGGGATGGCCTGCAGACGGAATTCAGAGTCAAGGCAGGGAAGACTTCTGGTACCAGCATAAAAATTGTGAAAGTGAACAGAGAATAATCAACCTGACTAGAAATCAAAATGCTGGATTTTCACCCCAGAGATGTGTGGGTGCATGGGTTATAGCAGACTGTAACCCACGTCACTTCGTGAGGGAAAATATCTGTCTTGTTCGTAAATCATTGAGGCGAATAAACTGATGTATGGTTCACTGTTAAGAAAAAGAATGTGAGTAAACTTAAAGAGAGGAAGAAAGGGGCGTGGGTAAAGGGAGGGAGAGGAGAGAGAGAAGGGGGAATCCTGATAATGTTTTAAGAAGAAAAATAATGGCTCTAGGTATTAGAGGTATATACAATTAAAATCATAACCAGAAGCCGATCCATCAAAAGCTTACAGAGAATCAGGTAGCTTGTCCTACAATAAATCAAAGCAAAACTTTGAGTATTTGAAGCTTCCTGAACCTGAGTGGCCTTCCTTGCCTGCAGGGGTCACTCTCAGGGTCTTCTAGCTCATGGCCAGATGAGGGCTGTTGGCTCAGGGTCCCTTCAGCTGAGGGCATGACAGTCATAGCCAGAGAGACTCTTGTGGGAACAGAAGCCAGGAAAGGGAAGGATGCAGGTGGCACTCAAGAGGCAGGATCCATCCTTGCTGGCCCTGGCCTGTCCCCACAGCCCAGCTGGAGCCTTGCTGTTCACCACCGACTATGAACACATGAAGTTACTATTTCTGTTTTGTTTCCTTTATACAGGTGAATGTTTTCTGCCTGCTGGGTCAGTGTTTTCCTTCATGTTGGGCCACAAGATGCCTGTGCATGAAGAGGTGTGTTTGAAGCTGGTGAAGAGGGCTGGAGTCGCCTTAGGTCCAGATCCTAAGCTCTGCCTACAGCTGTCTCCGGGGGAGCTGGAGAGTCCTCCTGCCGGGAAGAAGCCAGGCACAGGTGTCCGGAGACACATGGGTAGGTGGTGACACTGGCTTGCATCAGCCAGACTCATGGGCTCTGTCATCTGATCCGTTGGACCGCATATCCCAGGCTCTCCTGCAGTTAGGCTGGGAACATACTGGGGTTAGTGGTGGAAATGGGAAGTGATGCTGTTCTCAAGTCTGTGTAGCTCCCTGCTCCACTGATTTGAGGTGGGTGAAATGGAAATCTTGCATGACACGCGTGGAAGATAGTGAATTCACAAGATAGAAGTGAATTGGATCGTGTAGCTATTGAATAGAAAGCTGAATGTTAAGAAGAGCTTTGCTAAATCCATAATTGAATAAAAAGTAAACTATGATGCCATGGAGTGAAGCCACGGAAATGCTGGTAGCTTTTAATTAGCTGTCATTACTTAAACTGACACAGGCGTCAATGTTGCAGTAAAAATATTTTTTATCTGAAGCCTGCTTTTGCAATCCTATTGTGGGATCATTTTTTTCCCTGTTTGCTTCAATATTTGATTCATTTTATTTTAGTCAAAGAAGTTGTTCCATATGAATTGAATTTACATGTTCATAGCATGTCTGAGCAGTTGAAGTATTTTCTGTGTTATGATTTGGCAGTGTCTTAACACTGAGACTTTAAATAACTCAGTAAACATGCTAGATTTGTCATTCCATTAGAAAATGAATTCAGGAAAGGTTATGTAAGGCTCATTTTTAATTGAGGTGATATGAAGTAATGCTGTGTAATGTTTGTTATAATTACTGTGTTTACTGAATTTGTGAAATTACTACGGTTCCCTACACATCTTCCTTTTGCCTCACTGGACATGGTAATTGCGGATGTTGCCGAAGTTGCCAACATAGCGCAACACTGTTACACCTGCGGTGGGGAGGTGCTAATTCTACATTTACAAATTCCTTCTTCCATCTGCTGGTACCCTCTGGGCACAGATCAGGGAACCCTGGGGAGAGGATACTGGTGAATAAATGCAGGATTTCTAGCAAGGTCTGAGAAGGCAGAAAGGATCTTAGGAGGGACTTGGGTGGCGCTGTTTGAACTGCGCAGTTGAGTACATCAAAGTTCCTCCTGTGGCTGGCATCCTGGGATGCTCCCTGGACAGCAGGCAGAGGGAGACCAGGTCTCCGGAGACCATGCCCGAATGTGACTGCCTCACAGAATGTCTGGGCACTGCATTTTCTCAGGGCAGAGAGTAAGACTGGGGAGCAGATTCACAATGCAGGGCTGGACTGCTCTGCACAGGCCTCGGTTAGGGGATCCAGCCTCATAAGGATCAAGGACTTTACCGAAGGCTGATCTTTGTGCTGAGGCTGCATTTTCAGTGGTCTGTCTGAGAGTTGAAAGACCCCCAAATTTAAGCTAATCTTCAAATCCTGGGAAGAAAGTGTGTCTGTGTGTTTGTTTACAATGTTTAAGGAAATCTATCGAATTATGTCTACGTGGAAGTGAAGGAATAGATATTCCAAGGAACCCTCCTAAAAAGGAATAGAATCTCTGACAAAAATTGTTTGGAAAATATTATCAAATAGCCACTGAAGTCCTCAAAACCACCGCTACTACCACCATCACCACCAACAACTCTGTGAAAGGGACATAATCTTTACTCCAGAGTTATCGCTATGATATGTACAGTATCCAGGTTTCAACCATAATTCAGGAGCAGTTTACCAAGCATAGTAAGACGTTGGAGTGTGGCTCATTAGAAACAACGAAAGATACACTGACAGAAATTAACAGCCAAATAGGTTCAAATAGCTGCAGGAAATATTATAAACAAAGAAATCACAGAGAATAGCAATACATGTATAGAGCTGATTAGAAATTCTGTAACTGAATATTCATAGCATGTTTAAGCAGGAAGAGAGTAGTAAATTTGAAATTAGAATACTCAAAACTAATCAGCCTGAAGAACAGAACTACAAAAAGAGAAAAATTATCAGAAACTAAGACACTGGCAGTAAATCACCAAGCAGATCAACATAACAATTAGAAGAAACTTAGAAGAAGGAAGAAAGAATACAGTGTACTTTGCCTATAAATGATAGCCAAGAATTTTCTCATTTGGGTGAGAATAGAGGAAATGCTCATTCAAGAATCTCAGTGATCTCTAAGTAGGATAAACTTAGATTAAAATAATTCAGATTGTCAAAAACAAAAATAAAGAAATAATCATGAAAGAATTAAAGAAGAAATAGTTTACTGCATTGGGGTATATTGGTATAAGTCAAAATGGAGATAAATTCATTTATGATGTTAATTGTAATCCTCATGATAATCAATATTAAAAATATTAAAGGAGGGGATATTCAGAAATTCAAAGCAACGAGAACAGTCAAACACAAGGCAGGATAATATTGGAAAAGGAGAAGTAGGACCATCTTAACTCACAAACACTGCTGAAGTCAACATAATTCACGGAAGTGCGGAATGAAAAATCTCATCCCAAATTGTTTGTCTTTCTAAGCACTAGAATTTAATCTTTCCTAACTGAAACTAAAACACAATTCCACTTCCGACAGTATGCAGAAAATAAGGTGTCTAGGAATAAATTGAATCACAAAGATGAAAAATTTGCACACTGAAAATTACAAAATAAAGAACATTTTAAAAAGTCTGTGAGTGAAGTGTGGTGTTAAAGTACCCGGCTACAAGATCTGCTACCACAAAAAAAGAGAAAAACACTGGAAAACTGAAACAGGATGAAACAGGGTGCAGAGGGGCGTTCAGTTTCATGAGCAGGTTTATGGCTTGGAAGACTTTGTGTTCTTTGGCGATGCTCAATGGCCATATCACGTCCCTCTTCTCTCCTAACGGCTATAGAGCCAATATAATCTGCCAAAATTACACAATTGTTTGCAGGAATATAAAGCCAAATCTCCCATTTCATGAGGCCTGAACACCATAATGGTGTTGACAGTGGAGAGCAGAATGCATTGCCTGATTTTGAAACTGGAAGTCACAGCCAGGAGGGCACAGCCAGGAGAGCCTGTGTGCTATGGGTGAGAATGCGTGGAACTTCAGCCACCCTGGAAAACAGCTGAGGCGCCCTTAACATTTAAACGCACAATGACTACATGAGCCATCAGTTTCACTGCGGGCACCGGAGGTCGCAGCCCATGTGAATTTACTTCAGTGACGTAAAGGAGAGGCACGGAATAGGCCAGGCTGCAGGAACACAGCAGTGCTGGGCCCTGAGTCTGGAGGGAAGGATCCAGGGTGACTGCACAGGGGGTCGTCTAGGTGCATCTGGGCTCCTCCTCAGGGTGCAGGCTGGGGAGTCAGTGTAGACCGAGAGGGTTCTGGGGGCCCCCTTGGTGGAGTGGGAGGCAGCTCCCTGAAGCTTTTCACGGGAAGATATTGTTCTGCTGCTCTAACAAGCACCTGAAACTGGCTACTGGGAAGACTGGCATCTATTTCCCACAGTTCCAGGAGGGGACTCTGAGGTGAGGTCACCGCCAGCCTCCGTGTCTGCTGGGAGGCGTCTCCGCTTCCAAAAGCGCCTTGAGCTTCCTAGTCACACTAGGATGGTTGTGCACACACTGAGAGGAGCGGCTGGGCGGGGCACCCGCTCCCTCCTGCACCTTCAAGGGTGCCTGTGTGCAGTCTGGTAGGTGAGGTGGCAAGGGCAGACTCGGGGAGGCCCCTGTCTACTGCGCGTTTAACTTCTGAGGACTCCTCCAGGGCTTTCCGCAGTGGTCAGCCACCCTGCATTCTCAGGAGCAGCACAGCGGGCTCTTCCCTCCCGGCCTCACTGTGTCCAGCAGGCCTCAGCTCCTCCTGACACTGTGGCACGGGGATTCAGCGTCACAATGAACTGGGGGAATGAGAATCTCATTCCGGAGCCCAAGAGTCCTCCTGCCGCATCACCCTTGAGGGTTCCATCTTCTGATATCCTCACAGTGAGGTAAGCGGCACCCTGCGAATCTGACGGAGTGTAACAGTCAACGAAGGCATAGTGTACACACAGGGTTTTATTTTGGGAAGATGACGGTGAATAGGAATTTTAAAAAAGTAAAACAGACAATAAGTTTTATAACAATGTAGATATACTTGGTTCCATAGAATTTTCACTGAAAATGCTCGATTTATGTTATGTTATGTGGATCTGTCTCAGTTAAAATTCATCGGCTTGTGATTGTTTGCATTAAGTGCATCTTGTACTATTAAAAAGAATAAAATATATCAAGTTCTTGGGGAAAAATTAAATAACTGAACTGTCAGGTTAATTTTTAAAATGGAAGTAATTCTTAAAATATCACAAAAAGGAAAAATAGATGTGAAAACAAAGAAATTTAAAGCATGAATATATTTATTTTGCAAAATTACCCAAAGGCAGTAGACAGCTTAGAGGATCTGCTTCCTTAAGTGGCGTGGAGGACAACACGTCCTGTGTGTACACACAGAAGCCTTAACGGCGAGAGGCACCACACTGAAAACTTTAGAGACAAACAAGAGGAAAGCAGTGTTTTTCGTTTGAGGAAAAGAAACACAAGAGCTCACTGGAGAGAATCTTTGAGGGGCAGACGGTCTCTGCTGCCTGGGCCTCCTTCTCTGTGGTGCACGTTAAAGTTTCCATTACAGTGTTAGGTTTATGGACTTTTACATGCAGCACCACTGGTAATGAAGCTTGATCCGCAGAGGTAAAGTCCTTGGCGTTGCTGTTCCTAGGTTGTACTTATGGTTGTGAAAGACGTCTGGTGTGGAGAAACTTTCGTACAGTGGTCTCCAGCACTAGAGTGGCTACAGCTGGATGTGGTTTATTAGGGTCCTGGGGGTCATGGGGTTATCCTGCTCCTCTTGTGGGGAAGACAACTAAAACAGCTTCCAGTTGTAGAATTTATGTTGATGAGAAAAAGATGATCTATTAATGGTATCCGAAAGGGTTTGTCATTAACATTCTAGAAGTAATGTCATGATAACATAATTCTTTTCTTTACAAAGGAAACCAGCTCTGTTCATTCTGTCCTGGGCCTGAAATGTCAACATTTGAATTCAGAGTCTAAGAAAGCCGATACTCCCCGTCTCACAACACAGACCATATTCAAAACAACTACTCGTGAGCTTTTAAAGAATACAAATGAAATAGATGAAATCAGTATTCAAATGTCTAGTAAATGCAGTCCAAGCCCATCATCTAGTAAGGTAGTTAATTAAAAAGACAAAACCAGCTATATAATTTGCAGACCTAATACAAGAAAAACTGTGAAATCCCTTCTGCTGGAAATATTGACGATGTCAAGGCAGTGATAGCAGAGCATTAACCAAAGGTAACCCTGAGAAGGGCAAAGTCTGGTAGGGCCGCACTCACCCCGCTCTTATGAAGCTGGCCCGCCAGATGGGGACAGAGTGGGGGTTTGACCTAGCTTTTAATTTAACCACTTTTCATTCTCCATTATCTATTGTTAATATGTGACTGAAGAAAATAACAAGTTCTACACTAATGAAGCTTACACTGTATGAAAAATAAGACAGAAATTTAAAAATATCAAATATATTGATGATGAGAACATCTCTTAATTTAGAGACAGAGAAGGACAGACCTGGTCATAACTGGGAGATGGTGTTTGATAAAGTCCTTCTCATGAGGGACATTTGGGCTGGGACAGTAAAGGAAGCAAGAGGATGGACTTGGGCAAAGGAGCCCAGGTGAAGGGGATGCAAGCCCAGGTTGACCAGTTGCTCCTTTTCTTATTCATGATCTTTTGATTGGTTCACAAAAGTTTGCGTGTTAACTGGAGAATATGGGATGCTTCCAAACTCAAACACATGGAACAACGTTCAAATCAGGGGAGACATCTCCCTCCTCACACTGTGATCCCCTCTTTTGATAAAAATATTCAAATATTACTTTCTTCTTGCATTAATGCACTTAAATTATTTTATTTTAAAAGTTAAACGTTCATCATAGTTTCCAGGCATGCCAAGTTTTCTTGACCCATCCATTAGAGGAGGGATACTGCAGTGCTTCCCCATTCTTGGGTATTTCCATAAGTACTGCAATATACATGGGAATTTAGGAGTATCTTCAACATACTGAGTCCATTTCTTTGGCTCTAGGTGCACTACTAGGATTGCTAGATCATACGGTGCTTACATTTTACAGTTTTTTGAGGAACTTCCATACTGTTTTCCACAATAGCTGTACGACATTATGTTTTTACCAACAATGTTTAAGTATTGTTAGATCAACACTATGCTGTTCTCATTATTATAGCTTTGAAATATGTTTTGAAGTTGGGAGCATACTGTCTTCTGGATTGTTTTGGTTCCAGAAGTCTTTGACTATTTAGGGGTGTTTGGAGTTCCATATGAAACTTAGGATTAATTTTTCTTGCTTTGTGAAGAAAGTCATTGGCACTTTGATAGGGATTGTCTTGTTTTGTAGGCTGCTTTCTGTAATATGAATTTTTAACACTACTGCTTCTTCCAAGCTTTGAGCATGGGATATTTTCACTTTTTTGGGTACTATTTGATTTCTTTCATTAACATTGTATACTTTTCACTGTAGAGATTTTTCTTCTCTGTGGTTAAACTTACTTGTAGGTATTTTATTTATTTTTGTAGGTATTAGAAATAAGATAGTTTTCTTGTTTCCCTTTTCATATAGTTCACTGTAAGATATCGTGTGCTGCTGATTTCTTACAGCTTGATTTGGGTCCTGCAACTTTGTTGACTTCGTTAGTTTCAATAGTTTTGGTGAAGCCCTCAGGGTTTTCTCAGTGCTAATACTGTGCTATATGCAAGCAGTGTAGGTTGGGCTCTTTCTTTCTATGTTGATATTCTATTTCTTTCCTTTGTCTAATTGCTCTGACTAGGACTTCCAGTATTATGTTGAATTAAACAGTATGAATATTGACTTGGTTTAAATCTTAGATTGAAAATCTTCAACTTTTCCTTACTTAGTGTAATGTTAGTTTTCCTCATGACAGCCAAAGTGGGAGAGGGAGAGGGAGAGAGAGAGAGAGAGAGAGAGAGAGAGAGAGAGAGAGAGAGAGAGAGAGAGAGAGAGAGAGAGAGAGAGAGAGAGAGAGAGAGAGAGAGAGAGAGAGAGAAGAGAGAGAGAGAGAGAGAGAGAGAGAGAGAGAGGGAGAGAGAGAGAGAGAGGGAGGGAGAGACCAAGGTCAAAATTTCCACTGCAAACATGTCTCAGTTAAAAATCTCCATTTCCCCACTGCTGGGCCACAATATCAAACACCCACAGTTTAAAAGAGAGGTTGGTTTGGCTCACGGTTTCAGTCCTTGGTCAGCTGGTTCACAGACGAAAACAGTTAGCAGAGTCAAATGGTGTGGGTGGTTCTTACCCTGAGGTGATCAGGAAGCAGAGAGAGAAGGAAGCAACTGGGGAGACAGAGGTGCCCTCCCAGGCCACACCCCAGTGACCTCCGTCAGCCACATCCCATCCTAACAGCACAGTCAGCTCTGAACTCCAGCATGATGGATCCACTCACCAACACAGAGTCCCGGGGTGCAGGCAGTTTCAGGGGCATTTGAGATTTAAGCCATAGCAGAGGCTAATCCTACACATAACTGAGGTCCCTTGAGAACAACAAGAATGTGTTCAGGCACGAGAGCCTCAATGCCTGACGCATACTGCTGGGACCCAGATTTTCCCCGTCCACCACCTCTTCACCAATGCCATGCGGACCAAGTCCCCACTGCAGGAACCTTTGGGGGACTCTCAGACTACAAGTGGCCGCCCTGCTGCTGCATACAGCCTGGCGCAAAGGTATTAGACAAATCTGGTGCCAGTTACCTTTCTCTGTTGGGAGATCTCTGTGCGTAGTTTTACTATTTTCTCAAGAGCTGTGGGACTTTCTGGGTCCCCCTGAGATACCTGCCCACCACCCTGCCATGGCCCCAGTGGCCTTAGCTGAGAGGGTTTCTCTAGTCCCATTTGCTTCTAACTTCAGACGGCAGATCCAGCTCCTCTCCAAAGGGTTTGGGGGACTTTGCAAACAGTTCTGCTTCAACATCCAGCTTTTATTCCTGGGCAGAAAGAACCAGTTGCAGGGGACCACGTGTTTCACTCTATGTGCACCAAGGGTCCTTGCTGACTGGAGGAGGAAGAGCCCGAGATGTGATGGCTCCTGTGGTGGGGTTCACCTTAGCTCCCGCCTGTCCTCTTCCTCCTTTCTCCTCTTCCCTTGCTCTTCTTTTTTGCTCGACTGTGGAGCTGCTCCTTCTCCCACTGCCTCAGTTTCCCCACATCACCTTCCCTTTCAGGGGCACCGTGGGCCCCGTCCTACCCCAGCAGGAACCCCTGACGGAGGGCTCCGATCTGCATGGGATCCTGCCTGGGTGAACAATGTCTTTAGCACCCCACTTCCTGCTGCAGGCTCATCTCTGCATGTTAAGTGTGGCTTGAACTTTTCCCCTCTTTCCAAGATGTTGTTTCTCCCAAATGCTCATAAACACTTTCTAACCACTCGCAGTGTGTTTTGACTTCCCAGCTGTTCCTTCCTGGCACTTGTATGAGGATCCGGACATCTGCTTGCCAAGTTGAGAGAGGAGCTCAGCGAAGATGCTTCTCCTTCAGCACCACGCACGCTTTGACCTCTGTGTCTGACCTTGCCCTCAAGCCTGGCAGCAGGAGGAGGCTGTCTTCAAGTTGTCTTCCTCAAAATGGTGAAACGTAAGGATAGCCAGATCCCCCATGAAGAATGACACCACAACCACTTTCACTGAACAGGAGACGTAGAGAAATGAGGGGAGAACTGAACAGCTGTGATGCTTGGAGGTAAAAACAGTGACCTGGAAGCTACACTCTTGACTTCCAGATTGGCCTCATTGCCTCAGCCTCGGGGTCTCCGGGAAGGGCGAGTGAACAGATTTGTCAGAGTTCGAAGCTCCTTTCATGTCCTCCAAAGGCTGGAGTGGAAGGACCGTGCACCTCAAAGCTCTAGATTTAATCACAATTTACCCTTTTTATTGTTTTTATTGTGTATTTTGCCTGTGGCTTAGCAACAGCAATGTTTATGGCAGACTTTCCGTGTGTGAATTTAGGCAGATAGCAATGATACGAGGAGACAGGGTTTTCTGTGTGGTTCTGGGCTCTGGAAAGTGGACAGCCATATTGCAGGGAGAATGGTCACAGGTTCCCACGTCATGAAGTACTCATGTGTCTCACATAGATGTCAGTGCAGAGCCTTCTGCGTTTGCGGAAGACAAGGCCTCTTGGGAAGTGGTGAGCTTCCTCTTCCATAGACACTCAACAATGTGCCCGGGTGTCCAGGGTGTCAGCACGGGTAGGCAGCTTTCCATGAAACACAGCCCGCAATGGGCAGCAAATCTCTACTTTGTCAAGGTTGGCTCTGTCCTCAGAGCTGAACTGTCTGCTGCAGGTGGCCCAGGTCCTGCCTTAATTATTGTGCCCATCCACAAGGAGGGCACTGTACCATGCCAAGGGGGCAACCTATCCTCCATTTCTCTGCCCTGTCTTTGGAGGCTGGGTTCATGGTTTCCTTCCTGACTGAGCTCTTCTGGGGGCCTTGCCTTGCGGGATGGTTGTAAACACTGATGTGTTTAGAGAAGGACATGTGGAAGGACCTTGGCCATGAGGTCTGAGTACCAGTGCTTCACCCCATAAGAGGCAACATGTAGCCAAGGTGAAGGAGAAAGGTCCATGGTGGGGGCCTCAGCTTGCTCACATTTCAGAACTTACAGATGGCAGCTGAGGTTGCATTGGCCAAGCCACTGCCATGCCTAATTGTGCCATTTTCCTAACTAAAACCACATTTCCCCGCCTTTCCTTTTGATCTAGAGTATTCTCAAAGTCGTCTGTGTGTGGAGATGGGGCTTGGGAAGGTAATTAGGTCTTGGAGCACTATATTTATCAGTGGATTTCTCTCGTCTTTCCTCTGTTTGCTACCAGGACACCATGATGTGAGCAGCTTCCTTCCGCCAGGCCCTTCCACTGTGATGTTCATGCCTGCTGATAATGGACTAAAACTGTGGGCCAAAGTAAACCTCTCTGCTTTAAGTTGTGGGTGTCAGGTAGGTCATTCCAGCAACAAGAAGGGGACTGAAACAGGTCTAGGCCGTTCACAGCATGGGAGCCAGGGCGGTTGTGCAAATGTAAACTCAGGTCAAGCCATTGTTGCTTAGACTGCTCCAGCGTGTCCTCTGTGGTAGGAAGCATTTCCACACTGCTGACCCCATTTTCCAGGCCCTGTCTGACCACTGCCTGTCTTCCTGCATCTGCTACATTCTTGTGACGCTCTGAGCTTTGTCCCCGGAAGGAGTTTCTGTGCTGTCTTCTGCCTATTGTTGCACAAATCCCAGTTCCTTCCGGGGTCTTCCCGTCTGCCGCCCTGTACTTCAGCCCCGCCTCTTCAGATAGATTGAGCTCAGTCTCCCAGATGTCTTCTCAGATAAACCTTTGTTTCCCTCCAAAGCACTCCCGTTCACTCTTCTAACCATTGTGTGTGTGTTAGGAGAACTTTACTGGAGTTTGCATTGTTTGTTTCCAGTCCAACCTTAAGTTTACACCTGCGTCCCCTTTACTGTGCTCTGTGGTGCACTTCAGTGAATTCTGGGGCTCCGGGGGGTACAGTAGCAAGGAGGAGGCAGTAGAGGGGTTTGGAGGCAGGACTGTGGCTCACTGCTCCCAGAGGTGAAGGTCAAAGGCACAAGAGCTGCTGGTGCAGAACACTGTGGACAGAAAGGCTGCATGCGTGAAGTCCTGTGCAACCAGGAGGCTGCCCCGTGGGGAAGTCAACATGGCAGCAGCAGGTGGATGCACGGAAAGATGCTACAGTGGAGAGAGGGCTCTGTGGCTGCCCTGCTTCACACAACACAGAGCCTCTTCCTAGGCTTCCCCTTCTGGTGCAGTCCCCTGAGGGCACCTGCAACTAAAGTTTACACTCTCAGGGGCACTCACACAGCCTATGAAATAAACATGGACATTTTTAGTAATGTCTGAAAGTGAGATCTGGGGAAATTTTTCAGTTAGTGTGAGTCCAAGTGGAGGGTGAGGTACAGAACGTTATAGAATAGGGTTGTGTTTTGATGCTCATGCAGTTGGTAAATGAGGCTTGGACTACACAGACGGTTCTGCGAATTGTTCTCTCAGGGCATCTCACCACAATGTGCATTGCACTGGGATAATAATTTGAAGCTATTGAGTTAGCTCATTCTGTACTCCAAGTTATACCACTTATCTGGAGAAGAGATCTGTGCTCCCCAGTAATGTCAAGGATGTTTTGTTTCCCTTCGTTTGAAATTTTTTTCAATAACTTTATGTTTCCAGGCTCAAGAAGAGTCTCATCCAAGCCCCACAGTGCATACTACCAGTTCACACAATAAGAAGACCCCCCCCCCCAAAGCTCCATACTGGGGTGCCCTAAGTCCATGGAGCATCGATCTTCACACGATTCCTGTCTAAAGATTCAATAGACCCAGACCCGTAGAGGTCTGAGCCAGGTTTCGTTCTTTTCTATCAGTGTAACACCGTTTCCCATCAGATTTCAAACATGGACAAAGCCCCCTTACCTTGACTTCCAGAGGATCTGATGGCAGAACGTAACTGACGCGTGAGTGTGAAGAACAGGTAGCCTTTCCTGCAGTGCAGGGCTTGCTGGGTTTGCATGGTAGATCCTCCAGCTCTGGTGGAAGGGTAGCGAGGACGTAAGTTCCCTCCAGGGGACACAGGGTGGCCAGATGCTTCCCAACTTATCTCAATGCAGAGAATATTCAGACTGGCCCCCAAACACCTGCAACCCCCTTTACTTCCCAATGCTCTACATCATAATTAGGATGAAGAGCACAAGGGTAAATGGCATGGATCCACCTCTCAAGAAAAACCAAGACCCCTCAGTAGATCTAATTCCAGGACTGCCAGTGATGCCCACTTGACTGCTGATCTAAGGACATAGTGAGATTCAGGCAGCAATGGTTTCCTCTCTTAGTAGTTCTTCTCCTCCTCCTCCTCCTCCTCCTCCTGTTCCTCCTGCTCCTCCTCTTCCTCCTCCTGTTCCTCCTACTCCTGCTCCTCCTCCTCCTTCTCCTCCTCCTCATTCTCCTGCTCCTGTTCCTCTTGTTTCTCCTCCTCTTCTTTCTTGAACTATAAGGAAGAAACTGAATTCATGCATGTAAAAATACAAAGACATAGGAAGTTTCCACTCAGAACTTCTATGTGCATGTTACCAACAGACTTATTATATCACAGTGCAACTACTTTTACTCCAGGTTAACTATGGACTCCCAGGAGTTGAAGTAATTGCTTTGCCATCAGTAATTCATTTTCATTCTTGGGTGCTTAGACTTTGAGCTAAAGTAGAGCGGTGACACACTCTGAAACCACACTTTGTAAGATTAATTCTACACATTCTAAAATTTACCAGGTGAAATCATGCACTACTGAATTCCTGAGGCACTTGATGCTACCTAAGGGGAAAAGAGGAAGATAAATCAGAGAACATTACTTTCGATTTCAAAGACATCTGAAAGGGCTTTGCATGTGCTGCATCCTCCGAGCCAGTGAATGACAGACATCGCCCTGGGGGGACAAAGGCAGAGAGAGAACACAGGTGCAGCCTCGTCACCAAGCAAGTGCCTCCTGGTGTCTCCATCTTCACCAGAAGATGGTCCGGGACTGTGGTGCGTCTCTATTTCTAGCTAAAGAGATGATTGTTTAATTTAATCCCTTGAGATAATTATTCCCCATCACTCTTGGCTCATTTTTCTCTTATCAAACCGAATCTCCATAAACTTTGCAGACATTTTATATTGACAATAAGTTCTGGGAAGGCCCACTTTATGTTTGTGGCATCAATAATCCGACAGCAAAAGACAGGAGTAAATTAACACCTGCAATGAATCTGTTTGCTGCACGTGATTAATAGGGGGTGAAACTCAAATATCCAAAAGTAGACATTTGAAATCACACCATTTTCTTCTTCGGGAAAAAAGAATTGTCATAGCACAGTGTTTACTGTTGGGGTAATTAGCTAATTATCAGGTGGGCTAAAGGTCTCATTCACCTCATTGATGGGTGTTTAAGATATGGGTGGTGAAGGGGAGAGTTTCCGCTCTGCATTGATTTACCCCATAAGTGTGGGCCGTTCTGGCTGGGTCACCCTTTGGGTGAGGCTGAATTCAGCTGCTCACACTTCCCAGCACTAGTCTCTCTTGCTTTGGGATTTTAATTGTGAATTTTCTTTGGCTCAACTCCAGGTCTGCTCCAGGGTGGTCCATGGGCACTGTCAGCAATGCCTCCCAGCAAACATCCTTTAGAGGAGCAGTGCACAGAGACCCTGGCTTGGTGATTGTTGCTGGATGCCTGAAGTTCAGTGCACCCCAAATGGCCTCCTCAGAGTGGCCAGCTCCACCCTCTCCTTGCACCCCATGTGCTCAAGACCTGGCCTCCAACACATCCCCAGAGTTTGAGGGCACGTAGGGCTTACAAGGAGCTTACTTCATCTTTGGAAATCGTGATCTATTATCCAATCTTTCTACTTCTTTAAAAAGGAAGAAATCCACCCTATATATCAAGTGATCAGTGATAGATTAAGATAGAATAATAGCTCGTTTAACTTGGTGGGAGAATTTTCTCAGTATTGCCTTCCTGCATTCAGACTTTAATGCAGAAACAGTGTGAAAAGTTGCAACCAGAGCTGCGTCCATCATACAGTACAATCATTTTTATTCTTAAATTTTGTGAAGGATTCACACTGACCTGGCAAGTATGAGAGCATTTGTAAAATGAATTTAAATGAGATAGTGCATTTTGTAAAGCGATGAGATTTATACAGTGACATAATATAAAATACTATGATTATAATGTGATAATTTTAGCACATAATTGTACCCACAACTCTAGCTAATGCTGGTGATTTAGAGAAAATTGGTTCTAACTAATAGGAAGTCAGAAAACCCCGGGGTATTTAGCCATGAATAAAGAAAGGAGAAGGTGAGGAGCTTATGTGTTTCTATTCTGGTTTTTATTCTGCTTTTTTTCCTTAAAAATATTTTACTGTGTATAAATATCACATTTGCTTTATACCCAATGGAATACTGCACTGTTATAAAGAGCGATGAATTTGGACCATTTGTAAGAAAATGGATGCACCTTAAATACGTAATATTAAGCAAAATTAATCAAACACACAAGCTTAAATTCTACATAATTTCTCTCATAGGAAAAAATAATGTATAAACAAAGTAAAAAGCAAAATAAAAGCAGAAAATGTGGTATTTACATATGGGGGTGCTGCTTTGTAGTAAAGAAGACACATATGGCTCACTTATAGGAAGATAATGTACCTGGAGACCAGAATATTAAATGAAGTATGAAAAAATGAAGAGCAATGTAAGAGGTAGATAGTAGAAAATATGGAAATAGAGTTTTTACAAAAGTGAAAGGGTACAAGAGACTGCAGGAAGGAGAAGGGAAGGAAGGGGAAAGGGGATAAAAAAGGACTGAGATGTGTTACACTCACACCCCAAACCCCTGCAGATGGTGTGATTGATACATAGCGTGAACCTGTATTAACGGAAGACTTAGTCTACATTATCAACCTGTGCATTCATTTACGGATATGCTACAATGCCTGCTGTGGGAGACCACTCCAGTGACTCCCTTGGAACCCAAAACAATTGCTGTGACTTTGATTATTTGGAGACTCATTTCCTTATACTGATATATGAAAGGCTGGCAAGGTATTTCCTTCTCTCTTCAACTGGCTCTGAGCATTGCAAATAAGGCTAGCCAAGGTGCTAATATGCAAAGTCTATAGCCATCAGACAGTCCTGTTTCCTTGCATAGTGTTCTGTACAATACAGGATTGAACTGGTGAGTTGTTAGAGCAAATAGCTCTGGGAATGTCAACTGGGTACCAGCCTCAAGATAAGAGGCTATGACTCCCCAGGGCACAATAGCCCCCCAAAATAATTCCATTGCTACCCTAATTGGATTATGTAAATTGATCCTTCTGCATATCTTTATCTCTGCAAATTACAGAGATGCAACTCTTGCACATTGCCAGCCAGTTCAAGCTACTCAGTAATCCCTGACATCCTCACTATCACTCATCCCTGAGCCACTCCCCTTTCTTCACAAGATAATAAATGCTAAGAGAGACCTAGGATTGAGGCCTTTGTCTGCAAGTCTTCACAAGGATTGGGTTTAGGACCCCTTGGCTGCCCTTAACATGGAGCATGTCTTGATGTTTTTATTCTCGCCGTGCATTTGTGGTGGTAGATTGGAATTAAGTTGCTAGAATTCCAGTAATGTCTCCATGGGATTATAAATATAACCTTTTGGACTGTGAGGAAAACTAGAAAGAGGATTACAATACTTGGGTGACTGAACTCAATATTTGGGTTTATAATACTTGCCATGCCTCTGGTAGCAATGATCAACTTACAGGATGAGATTTGATCAGACAATCTTTGATCAGGTCATTTATTATAGTCAGACTAACACAGGACGTAATGTCACTGCTTTCTCCAATGATTTTAGATTTCTTCTAATGCACATCTGTAGCACATCAGTTTGTGGTCGATTTGGAGAGGGACTCTTTTTAACCCCTTCCCACCTGCCTCCTCCAAGCCCCTTCCCCATGCCCTTGCTGACATCATAACCTTGTCTCATGTTTATGACACCTAGTGTTGTCCTGTGTGCTTTACATTGAGGTTACTTTACAGTCTTAGGGTCCCCTTGTGCTGACACCTGGACATCTTTGAGACCCTTGATTAAAGATAGCAGATGATCTACTGAACTAATGCTTCAAAGTCTGTGACCAAAATTCCCATTATCAGGGCAAAGCTGCCTTCTTGTAGCCCTAAGTGTACTCATTCTGACTCATGTGTGAAGATTAACTTATCACGGAGGTTTGATTTTACTTGCCAAGAGGAAGATGAGTGATCTTTGAGAACTTAAAGTTAGTACATATCCCATTGTAGGTAGTATATTTACATAAAAATACAATAATGTTTTAATTTTACTCTTACCAATGGGATTGAACAGGGAGCAGCTCTACACTCTACTAATGCCCTATGATGAGTGTGATCCTTGTGAGCTGCAAATATGTACTAATAAGAACATAAAACCACTGTGTGAAGAAAGTTTATAAAAAGGAAGTAACATAGTTAAGAAGGAGAAAGAAAATTATTTTTAAAAGGAAAAAGAAAACCATAGAAAAAAAGAGATGAAACTCCAAGGAAAGCAGATCAAAGCAATCAGCACGGAAGGAAAGAGATAGCAAAGTGTTCCCTGAATAAGATGGCGGAGGAAGGGTGTGGGGTGACAGTAAGACCTGGAGGATAGGTAACTTACCAGATGAAAACAAAAAGGGGCAACAGAGATGAGAAGGGAAAAAACCAGGTCCAGTGAGTTCGCTTGGCTAACATGACAGAAGACAGAGGCAGAATTAGCAAAGGGTACTTGTGTTTCATGACAGGAAAAATCCTCTATTTACAGACTTGTCTAGAGTTAGTAACTGAATAAATTTTAAATAGCTTCTTTACTTTCTATTTCCCTGTGCTTAACAAAACGTGGGTTTACAGTCCTTGAAACTAAAAATTAAGTAGATCTGATTCAAAAAAGTCATTAAAAACATGAATTAAGAGGGAAAACAGAGGCTGAACTCACTGTAATGAAGATGTATTTCTTGGGTTTCTTTTCACAGCAGCTTCATCTTATTGATCATGGCTCAAGGTCTTCAGTTATGTGACACTTAGCTTTCTCCTGTGACTCAGAAATCGTCCCATTTGGTGTCACAGATCCAGGTCCCCTGGACTCATTAGCCCTAAGTGGACAGCCTCCTGGGAACAGGAGGGACAGTGGGGTGTGCCAGGACCCAGAGAGCTGGGACATTTAGAGGGTGTGGGTCTGCTGGTGGAGAGATTGACAGAAAGACTGCACAGAGCGGTTTTAAACAGACTGCACTGATCCACACTGCCGCTGCTGAAGACTGACTTTCCCCAGGTGGCACCAGGCTGTTGGCACTTATATTGGTGCAAGGGGCAGATGGGAAGGGGCTATGCAGAGCAGCCGTGAGCTGGAAGGGTCTGTTGATTATGTGCTCTCTCTGGAGAAAATTAGAAAGACTCATACACCAATGATAACAGAGTGCATCATCAGAGAAGGAAATGAATGAGGATTAAAGAAAGAGGAGGGGGCTGCCTGGCGACAGTGCCAGGACTTGAGCTGTGTGATGGAGAAGTCAGATGGATGAGTCTGAGAACAGAGAGGAAAAGAGGAGTTTGCAGGAAACTTAGAGATGTAGGTGAAGGAGGGGACGTCACAGCAGAACGGGCTACAGTGTCCTTTTATCTTCTGTCTGTTCTCTGGTGCTTTGAAATAAGGCCTCAAGAGCCATTAGATATTTGTATTTTCATGAATTTTAACAAGAATGAAATTTTATGTGCCATTTGGATACTGATGCTAACTATATATGCTTATAATAATCATTTTGGTTAAAGTTTAATTTAATCTAGAAAATTAAATATTTGATAGTTTCATTATTAATAACTAAGTAGTAATGACTTTTTGGTAGACAAATGTCATTTCTGTGAGTAATGATAGAGTCAGTCTCTTCCACTTTAGGAACTTTTGGCACGTATACACATTCCACCAAAAATGCAGACACACTCTGGGAAACAATAAAATATTTTAAAAGTAAATTTATTGAGACACCATAAGGTTAGTACAAGTTACCTTCTGCCTCTAAAAACATTCCACATGTTTATTAGTACAGCAAACAGCATGCTGCTTGGTAACCTTGTGTCACTGAGATTGCTGTCCTTGTATATTCAATTTTTTCTTTAAGGACCAGCAGTGTAGTGAATTTTCTACAACATATGACACCCTCTAAGGTCCCCCATATAAGGATGACATCGTCTGTTGAAGAAGCATCACACTATTTTTTAGTGCACTCTTTACAAATATTTATATTTATAAATATGCCAGTTATTTCATGCATTATACATAACATACAATGGTGTAAGACATTTTATTTAATATTCACTTTTAAAAAGACATTAAATGAACTTGCTTATCCTTCTGTGAAAGGTTCGACCCATTCAGCAAAGCCAGGTGTCTGTTTGCTTAGGAGATGGCTTCAAGCACCATGGCAGTGAAGCTGTTTGCTCATTAGCCGAGGGACATGGCAATTCGGATGTGATTGGACTCCACTGCTTTGTGTGTCCATGAGGTCCTCAGATAAGCCCTGTGATGCCAACTTTCCAGGCTGTGCAGCCTCCACATATTCCAGTCAGTTGAAAGCCATCTCCTGAAATTCAGCATGGGCATTTTGGCTGGTAACTTTGTTCATAAATGAGCTCTGTGTGCATATGAAGACCGACCATCTGGATTAAGATGATGGCATTCAGCCCCTAGGCAGGTCCACCCTGGAGACTTTAGAATGTGGTGACGGAAGTATCGGGCTGGTTAGCTTCGAGCCCACTGGAGTGGGCTGAGATGCTGACTTGCAAGTGTATGACAGAGTCCTGTGCTCTTGGGGGCATCACAGGGCTCTCCCTAGGCTCTGGCAGCTGCTGAAAGGACTTACCACGCATCTTCCGCCTTTCACCACAGGGCTGTTGACTTCCTTCCAGGCCAGCGGGAGAGCAGTTATCTGCCAGGCTACCTGCCCCTAAACAACCTCACCAGACTCAGCTCCCTTTCAGTGAACCAGGTCTTCTGTGCAGTGCCCACCCTTGGGAATGACATCACATCATGGTCACTTTCTCTGCTCCCAGATCGGGGGGGGACTTTTTTTTTTTGAGACAGTGTCTCATTATGTAGGCCAGGCTAGCCTTGAACTGCAGCAATCTCCTGCCTCT